TTTTTTTTTTTTTCCTTTTTGTTTCATTCCCACAATTATGAGCATTTGTAATTGATGATGAAACTCCTTGTGATTATATTTCCATTTGCCTTCTTCAATGCTGTAAATAGTGCCAAAGATTCAACGAATTAAAAGTTTGAGGGAGAAAGAGGAAGAATAAGATAGTTGAAGCTATCCATTATAGCTAAGATTAGAGATTAGTTAGCACACAATCTTTACCACTTAGAATAAAGGTAGATATATTTTTTTTTCTGGAATTTTTTTGCTAATGACAAACTGCTTGCAAAAGTAGTGAGAGAGTTTAGGCGGCTAAAGATCCCACATTAATAAAAGAATAGATAAGTTTATAATAGACGTCGACTTGGTTTTGAGATCTGACCCTATAAATATTAATATGATATCATAGTTCAAACGAGCATCCGGTCAAAAAATGAGATCCGATCCACATTGTCTATGTATAGTGATGTTGTTCCGTAATCTTTAATCTATAAATTAAAAAATTATCTTTGGTATATACCTTCAACCAAGAGGTTATGAGTTCGAATCCCCTCCTCTACATATTGTCGCTTTTTTGGTTGATCGATTTTTAAAATATGAATTTGTAATTGTATGTTTGAATTTTGTAGAGAAACTTGAATTTATTTAGGCTCTATGTACATTTTATAGACTAACTTTGTATCAAATTTCCAAATCGAGAACAATCAAACAAATTAAGTCAGCAGATGTTGAAGAATATAATAGAATAGCACTTACTTAATATTGGTAAAGATAAAAAGGGGAATCACAACACCAAATTTTAACTAGCTAGGAAAAACATGCTAAAGATTAATATAAAATAAACCATTAATTCTTCAAATCTCAGCCCATATGGCTTACAATCTGATTTCTTCATCGCCTGTCCATGGAATCATAATCAGAATTCGAATTAGAATCAGGCATTCAAATTAGAATCCATTGGGGTTGTTTTTTTAATACAACTTGTGGGGTAGGGGATCGAATTGTTTTAATTCTCCTAGTTTTTAGTGGGTCATTTTTCAAAGCTTTTAAATACTCATATATGCAACCGTGTTCTTATTTGAACGTACAAATAAGATAGATATTTTTTCTTCGATTCCCTTTTTGAACTTGTTTCAATCATTCAATTCAATTGATATTGCTCCCTAGCAATAAATCTTTAGAAATAACATAAATTAAAAATTGTTCTATATTTAGGACCTTAGAAAATAATCTAAAACTTTGATATCTTGCTAAATTTAGGGAGGGGAAGTGGCAGAAAATTACAAAATAAGATTTCATATTGAATTAAATTTTTAAATTGGATACGACCCAAATACTTGATACAAGAAACCAATACTAAAATAATTCAAATTATATCAAATCATATCCGAATCATATCAATATTATCACACATGTTCTCTTTCAATTATATTTGAAAATTGTTTTTGTCAAAAATCAAAATAATGTATTCCCTTGTTCTCTACTTTTCTCTTCTTTTTTTATGTCCACTGAATTGAATCTATTACAATTTTTGTTCATATTGAAATGAGCCATAAGGACGTAAAAAAACAATTCAATTCAATTGAGTCACAATGTATTAACCCATTAGCTCAATGGTCGGCTTATCTTAATTTCACCCTTTAGTATTATTGTAACAAGACATTTATTTTTTTAAAAAATAAAAGTGCGAGAGAGAGACTGAGAGTGAGGGAAAAAAGGGATAGACAATTAATCCCTCAATCCCAAAACCAAATGAGCTTCCTAATGACGTGAACATGTACCTGGTCTATGACAAGCATGAACATGCAAAGTGGTGAGGAATCACTCAGTCACCAAAAGTACAAGAAAAGATAAACGACATGCAATACTAAATACATAACATAAAACGTCAAACCGCCAGTCTCTTCTCACCCATTTTAATACCGTTGAGGGCCGCATAGGCTATGTCTATGGCTGAAAGATATTGGTAAACACAAAAAACGCATATCCTTTCAAAATGTCAGTCTCTCTATCTTTCACCATATCAAAACCTTGTAGGGGTCCCGAAGTCTCCAACAACTTTCTAACGTGCGCTTTTGTGAGCTAATAAGGAAGCCCACCCACAAAGATGTGGTCTGACCCTTTAAGACCACCGGTAGAACATGGCGTTAGGCCAACAGCAGCCAGGTTCAAATTTGGGTAACAACTGATTAATGTTAGGCCTTACCGGTACGCCCATGCTCAAAAGACAGAGATTGAGAGGTTGATAGAAGAGATGCTCACAACCGGCATCATCTGCTCACGTACCAGACAAATTTAAGACTACAGGGCTCTAAACAATGTCACCGTGCAGACAAATTTTCCATTCCAGTCATTGAAGAGTTGCTTGATGAGCTACACGGATCTAGAGTTTACTCCAAGATAGACCTTAAAACTGGCTATCACCAGATTCGGCTAACAGAGCAAGACATTGTTAAGACTGCCTTTAGGACTCACAAAGGCCATTATGAGTTCCTAGTGATGTCGTTTGGCCTCACCAATGCTCTGGCCACCTTCCAGGCGCTCATGAACCAAGTTTTTGGACACTACTTACGTCGATTCATACTTGTTTTTTTATGACATCCTCATCTACAGCCCTAATATGGGAACTCATATCCGCCACCTAGCAATTGTGTTTGATGTGCAGAAGGACCATTCTCTATATGCCAATTACAGGGGGTGTTCAAGTACAAAGGTTGCTTAGTCATATCAAATACTTCTTCACTACTACCAGCCATCCTAAGAACTTATCATAACTCGGTGGTGGGAGGACACTCGAGATTCTTAAGGACCTACAAGCACTTGACGAGCGAACTCTACTGGTCAAGGATGAAAGAAGATGTTAATGGTCATGTGGAGAATTGCACCATTTGCCAACCCAATAAGACCATGGGCTATTTCCCCTGTGGGTCTACTTCAACCCTTCGCGACATCTAATCGCATATGGGAATACATCACCATGGACTTTGTAGAAGGCCTCCCAAAATCAGCAGGGTTTGACACAACTTTTGTTGTGGTAGATCGCCTCAGCAATTACTCCCACTTCATTGCCCTCAGTCATCCGTTCTCGACGAAGACAGTGACAACAACGTTTGTAAGGGAGGTAGTGAAGTTACATGAGTTCCCCAATTCAATCATATCAGATAGGGACAAGGTGTTCATTAGTCAGGCTTTAAAGGACTCAATTGAGGAGGAGCAGTGCGTACCACCCCTAGACGGATGGACAGACAGAGAGAGTGAACCAATGCCCGGAGACCTACCTCCGCTGTTTTTGTAGTTAAAAAGCCCAAACAATGGTATCAATGATTGTCACGGGCCAAATATTGGTACAACACCACATACCACGTCTCCATCAACACCACCCTTTTCAATGTGGTTTACGGACGCCAACCTCCACCACTGATCTCTTATGGGGATAGAAAGACAACCCTGGACCAGCAATTGAGTGATAGAGACAAGGCAATTGAACGATTGAAACACTAGTTGGTTATTGATCATAACAAACAAGGTTGATCTACACCACCAGAAGTTGGAATTCGAAGTAGGAGACTTGGTGTACCTCAAGATACGACCCTATCAATAGATGTCCTTAGCAAGGAAGCGTAACGAAAAGCTATCCCCTAAATACTTTGGTCCCTACACCATCTTGAAGCGAATTGGTAAGGTGGCTTATGAGCTTGATCTACCACAGGGGACAACCATTCACCCGGTTTTCCATGTCTCACAATTGCGGTTTTCCATGTCTCACAATTGAAGAAGGCACTGGGACCTAATGCCACTATCGAGACTAATCCCCCAATTTTAGTCGGAGGAGTTCGAATGGGTGGCAGAACCTAAGGGCATCGTGGACAATAATGGAACCAAGAAACAAGTGAGGCAGAAGTTCTGGTGACTTGGAAAGCCAGAGATGACAATAAAGCCACATGGGAAGCCGTCAGCTAAACTTTCAACTGCAGTTTCCAGAATTCCACCTTGAGGACAAGGTTCTCACGAACCGGGGGGTGATGTTAGGACACCTGTGTTAATAATATATAATAGGAGGGGTAGGGGTGGAAATTCACTACCAACCGTTAGGGTACCTAGGGGTGTAAATTTGTCGGTTCAGGTCGGTTTTGGGACGAAATCCACCTGATCCAAAAATATCCGGTTGTCATTCGATTCAGGTAGGTTCAAGTCGGGTCGGGTTTCAGTTTTTTTCCCTCCTCCTCCTCCCTCTCTAGGGTTTTCGTTTCCATAGTGTTAACACCCTTCAAATTCAGAAGCCACAAAAAAGACATGTTTCTCAAAGCTAAACAAGAGAGAATGAATTTTAAGAGATACGCTCGTTTTGATACAAGAGAGAGGATAAGAGATTCAGTACTATCTAGCCCATAAATCAGATGATAAATTAAAAAAAAAAAAAAAAAACTTTTCTCAGTCGTAATTAAAAAAAAAAAACTTTTCTCAGTCGTGAGTTTGTCGAAGAGACTAAAGAGGGATGGAGTCATCGTTGCGTGTCGTGCCGCCATGAATTTGTTGAATTTCTGCCGCAATTTGTCAAGGAAGGTTTTGGGTTGTCGAGCACCGCCGTTGATTTGTTCCATCGCCATTGTCATTTGTTTCGCCACCACGATGCGACCACATTTGCAGAGACAGTAGAGGGAAGGAGGAGAAGGAGCAGAGGGAGAGAGAGTGTGTAGACGGAGGGAGACAACGTAAAAGTGTACGGAGGCGACGCACATAGTTTATCTTTATATTAAATATTAGGGTTTTCGGTTTTCGGATTAAACCGACCCGAATCAGTATCTATGATAACCGAATCGAACCAAACCGATCGGTTCAAATTCTTTATCCCCTAAAGGGACCAGATTGAGTTTGAATTGTACAAGTGAGTGGTGCATGCGGGGACAGGGTATATCCCCTGTGGATAGGTTGTAGGTAAGTTTTATTTTCATCTTTGAGTGTGCAAGTTAGGGTAGGAGAGTTGCCAGTCCTGTCGAAGCAGATTGGATGTTTGTATGGCCATTGGCCTCGACTTTGCATTTTGAATATCATGACAGTAAGGAATACCTTACAAATTAATCCCTCAACCCAAACCCAAAAGAGTTTCCTAATGATGTGAACTTTGTACCTTGCCTATAGTAGACACAAACATGCAAAGTAGTAATGAGTCACTCAGCCACCAAAAGTACAAGAAAAGGTAAACAACATACAATACTAAATACATGACATAAAACGCCGAACCGTGAGTGTCTTCTCGCCCATTTTAATGTCGTTGAGGGCCAAACAGACTATGTCTGTGACTGAAAGATCTTGGTAAACACAAAACGCGTAGCCTTTCGAATTTCCAGTCTCTCTATCTTTCACCAAATCAAGACCTCGCAGGGGCCCAAAAGTCTCCAGCAACTCTCTGACCTGCGCTTCTGTGAAGTAACAAGGAAGTCCACCCACAAAGATGCAATCTGGCCCCTTGGCAAATTTTGGCGTTAGGCCGACAGCAGTTAGGTTCAGATTTGGATTCAATTGGCTCCGACCAAGTGTTGCTGCAAGTGAAGGATTGTGATCCCTAGGTCTTCTCACCTTAACAGGCACTCCCTAATTAAACAAAAAAAAAAAAAAAAGTAACAGATTAGAGAAATATTTTCCTATATAGTTTTTGTTCAAACATGAAATATGGACACGAAATGGTTGACAACAAAACTAAGTACCTCAAAGATGATCCCGTCCAAGGCCATTGCATTACTTGCTTCCTCAACGGATCTCATCTCCACAGAAGCAAACTTTTTCTCATGATTTATGCAAACATGTCAAAACCACGTCTCCTATAAATGATGGATGGTCAAACATACAAGTAGATTATCTTGACATGGCAATAAGAACCATAGAGACCATTAAACGTATAAATAGAGATTAAAAAAGTCACCATACCAGGGCCAGTGGTGTTTCCTCCTATTGCAGCCATAACCTGACTGAAAAATGTTGCAACAGACTGCCAACGACAAATTAAATTTATGAATAAAATATGGTATCCTACCATATGGAAAAATGTTTCTGGTATGCCTTTATCCAATTAACTTAAAATGAATAGTAAATGATATGTCAGACACAGATATCTAACGATATTTTCATCTTTGTCAATACAGATTCAGAATATTAGCTAAAGAGCTGCATCAGGATGATGGATGGCATAGAACTCCAAACAATAATATATATCTGAAGATACGGATTTCAAATAATTAAAGTAAATAATAAAAACAAATAAATGACAATAAAAGAAGAGTGACAAGAGGTGCAAGAAAAACCTGTTCGTTTGCTGTTGGGGGTAGCCCTTCCACATACACACACCGAGCATGTCTGGTAGCCTGAAAACATAACACACATCACAGGTTTTCAGGTTCGTCAAATAATAAAGAGACGTACAAGGCACCAAATGATTATCTGTTGGGCCATTGTCTCGACTGGAATAACAGTAAGCACTCCAAAGGGCTGCATGAAAACAAATGAATGGCAAAAAATGCTAAAATATCATCAAAACATACATACTACTGTCAAATTTAATTTTTTTAATATCCGTGAGTGTCCGGGCCAGCTTACGCGCACCTCGAGTAATCTCACGAGGCAACCGTTTGACCCTACAACATTTGGTGCCGGAAAACACAAAAGAATTACTAATTCCTAAGGTAGGTGGACATTGTGGGATTTGAACTCATTCCCTCCTAATTTTTGGACCAATAAGCCACCCATGATGGTTATACTTCTGTGAAATTTGAACCCACAAAAATCGAAAAAAATTTCCTCTTTCTGCGGAAGCTTTTTTTCATCTGTTCTAGATGATCCAAAAAAGGATGATGTTTCAGAATAGCACTCACAATAACCATGGTGCAAAAGAATGACATTCACGATATTTTCTTCATTCCACGAACCATATGTTTTGTGAGACCATTTGGATTAAGAAAGTAAATTTAACCGCAAATTCTCACAGATAGACTAAGATGGGAATAGCATACACTTACCAAATAAAAAAGAAGAACAAGTTATTTTACAAGAACATTGCATCGCTTTAGCAAATTACATAACAAAAATCATATATTGTAAGGTAAAAAAAATAAATAAATAAATAAAAAAAAGGTACCAGAGACAGAAAGTAATAGAAAATAAGTTATGTTACACCACAACTTTAACCAGAAAACACATAATCACATGGCTTGCTGGTCATATAAGTCTAATATGGAAACAATGTTATTTTCAGAATTTAACAAATCTGCCTGCCAAATAACTAAATCCATTTGATTCAGATTCAAAATAAGAACCAGAATACAAATTCTCACCCGTACATAGCAGAAACAGATCCAACTCCTACTATCCAAAAAATTGCTTAACCTCAAACTAAATCACTGTCTCCCAATTGAGAAAATAAATAAAAGATGATGTTTCGGTCTTGCATAATCGGACAATAAACTTGAATTTGGAGTGAAGAAACCACCATCCATTCCCAAAATCAAAGCAGAACCCTAAAACAACAGAGGAATTATGCATACATCATTTGAATGTGTTTAAGAAGACCTGAGATTTCGAATCGCTGTGAGTATCGTGGAGCGAAGAAGCAAGAGCTTGGAGAGAAAAACAATCGCCATAATTGTCCGCGTCTTCTCCATTACCTTCGTATCTCCCGTCGTAATCTGTCATGTTTGAATTTTGCATATGATCCACTGAATTTCTCTCTCGTATTTGGAATTTGTTTCCCGAGAAAATTTTTCGCTCATAAAATTGGGAGAAGCAAAGGCGGTTTCCTCTCCCTAAGTAGTAGCCCTCAGACGCGGCGAGCGATATTTCTGGTAATTTAGTTTTACAATTTTTTTTTTAAGTACTGGTTTTATAATCAAATGGAAAAAGATAACTATCGTACCTTTTTTTTAAATTTTATGTACCTAAATTAACAAATAAATATGTATAGAATTTACACATTTGTAATGTATCAACCTTATTTAAGAGGGTATCCATCACATAAATTATTTAAATATCTTTTTGTATCTACGAATTAATTTTAAATTCATTAATTGGAATGTTATAACTTGGATCCCATAATTTTAGGTTGATGATATTTTCTAAAACAAATTAAAACACCAAAACATTAAAAAGAAAATCCTAAATTCCCAAAATTGAAAACCTCCCAAAATATCCCCAAATCCGGTCTAAAAATCTCCCAAAAGAAAGAAACAAAAAAATGAAACATCTATTTGACAGAGGTTTTTGTAGCAAAGAAATTGATAAAGATTTGAAACAATATCCCCAAATCTCCCAAAATTTGAAAACCTTCAAAATCCAAAAATAACAATCGTCCAGACCATGAGATGTTTAGAACTTCAATTTTGGAGGACCCTGTCTACAGAACTATAAGATAGATATACACATATAAAATACATACACATATACAATATATACTCATATATACGAATATAATCAGGAATACCAAGACTATGAGACATTTAGAACTTCAATTTTCTATACACACAAAATATATCCCCATATGTACCAATCTTAACGGAAGACTAATAATTACCAATGGTATGGATGACCCTTTCTACAAAACTATAAGATATATGTATATATATCTTACATATATAAAATATATACACATATACAATATATACGAATATATACGAATATAATCAGGAATACTAAGACTATGAGATTAGAACTTCCATTTTCTATACACATACATAAAATATATCACCATATATACCAATCTTAACGGAAGACTAATAATTACCAATGGTATAAACAGAAGGGGACAGGAGATGAGGAAGGCGTTGCACGGCGTCGGAAACATGCAAAGAAGTCGATGGAAAGTTTATTCAACGACGGAAATTGAAGGTCTGGACTTCTCTGGGGATAAATACCTCATTGATGGAAGCACTGCACGGCATCGGAAACGTGCAAAGACGTTGACGAAAAGTTTATTCGGCGACGGAAAGAAGAAGATCTGGACATCTCTGAGGAAGAAGGAATAAATACCTTGTTGATGGAAGCCCCGAAGAAGGAAATTGAAGGTCTGGATGTCTGAAAGGAAGACGGTGGGGAACAAAAAACGGTGGTTGGAGACGGCAGCAGACGACCTAAATTATTCAAAACATAATTTAACAAAATAGGAAGTTGTTAATTGGTGAGAGGAAAAAATATTTTTTGAAAGAGGGATTTGAGGAATTAAGGTTGAAAAATTGAATGGGGCCCACAATAATTAAATGAATATAATTACAAATTAAGTATTCAAATCTTTAAAATTTAAAAATTATAATAAAATAAAAAGCAATAAATAAGGTAGAAACGGTGTTAACATAAAATCCTACCTGAAAATATCTAAAGTGTAAATTTTGAAAACTAAAGATCTTTTATGAAATTAAGATTTAAAAATAGACCCCTAAGATATTATCTCTAAATATTTTATCATTTCTAAATGAGTTAAAAATAATTAATATATATATTTGTGACATTTTGTTGATATTTTTCATATTTTGTCAATTTTCTTATACTATAATGGAAATGTCGATTCACCCCTCATGCCAGACCCATGAAAACATAGATATGTCGATGGAAATGTTGACCTATCGACGGATATTTAAAACCTTGCTTAAATCTAAAAAAAATAAGTATATTATTATTATTATTATAGGGATGCAATTACATGTTTTTTTTATATTTTTTATATGTGCTTAATAGTTAGATTTAGGTCAAACCAAGCATAACTCAAGTGATTAAGACACGTATCTCTGACTAAGAGGTCATGAATTCGAACCCCCACCTCATATGTTGTGTTAAAAAAAATAGTTAGATTTAGAATTTAGTAAATAGTTTCAAAAGAAAAAAATTAAATTAAGTTATTAAATATCGGTGACATTTTCATGTATTTATGGTGGGATAAATCAATATTTTCATAATATTGCAAAAGAATCAACAAAATATAAAAAATATCTATGGTCATGATGTTAATATTATTCATTTGTAACTTATTTATAAATGGTGGAATACTTATTGTGTTATTTTAAATAATTTTTTATAATTTTTTAATTTTTATAATCTTTCCAAAAATATCTATTGAAAACATATATTAAGATACTTTTTCTTTTTTGCATCGACATTTAAAATCGTTTTTAGAACTTGAATATCAATTTTGAAAAAAATTGTTCAAAGTATTTAATAATATATTTGTAAACTGAGGAAGTTACCTCTAAATATATAGTTCAATCTATATTAATTAATTAATATATATGTTATAAATATGGAATAATATATTTATCAAAATTGGTATATTTGCTACATTTTAGAGTTTCAAATTTAAAATCTGAAATTCACATCACTAAAATTACTTCGAATAATATGAAAATTCTTATAAATAAAACATAAAAATAAATCATATCAAAACTATTTTGCAAAATCAATTATAAATAAATATCTTTTTCTAAAATAATTTATTATACAAACTCCAAAACACAATCTTATTCCAATTAAACCCAAATTATTTATATCAGTTTTTGTTTTTCTAAATCAATATGTGAAGTCAACAATAATTTAAAAATTGTAATTCAAGTATAGCTCAACCAATTCCATCAATCTCGTATTAAATATAAAAAATTTGAAAAAAAAACATCAATTTTAAACATGGCTAATGCTTAATATTGTACTTTTTATTTTTAAGAAGTTAAAATAAAAATGGACTAAATTGTAGGATGGTATAATTTCAATGTTTGAGTGTAACAATCTTATATTTGATGGGGGTGGTCGAACCTTTTGCAACATTTAAAAGCTTAATTGTAAAATTTCGTAAATTTTATAACGCGATTGGTTAAATTGAATGTTTGAGTGTGTGATTGTAATAATTTATATAGTTTAAGTGTGGTTTTTGGCTGCATACCTAAATACAAAGGCATTAGTCAGTAACCTTTCTAAAAGTTTGAAATTTAACTCTACTAAAAAAAATTGTATAATACTTTGTGTAATGCATACTTTAATATATAGTTTATTTTAATTTATAACTTTAAAAATATTCCATTATAATATCTAAATTAGTCAACATTATGCAAATCTCTCTCTCTATCTGTTTTTTCTTTTTCAATCTTTTGCCATCTTTTATCATTCTATAAGCTTTCAAACTATATAATTTAGTCTATAAATTTTGAGGGAAAAAACGATGTCTGCAACATTCCTATTTAAAATCTCTATATTTTACCCTAATTCAAAGTTAATATTATTATTATTTTGCCATCTAATATTTGCTCCTTCAATTCTTGATTATTTCCTTTTCGTACCATATGCGCTTAGGCTTGACTTAAAAACTTTGCAAACCCTCTCATACATGTCAACATCATTATTATTAATCTACATATTCAAGATCATATTATTGATATATTAACTAATTTACTACCTAATAAAAGGATAATCAAAATAGTTATTATTTATAAAAATTCATGGAATAGAATTTTAGATGCATGAAAATGAACTTTTTTAGACAGCCATTTTATAAGAATATTTATAACGATAGTTTCGAAAATATTTGAATAGTTATATAATTGTCTTTACGGGATTTTAGAATATTAAAAAAAATATATATTTGTTCCAACAAAATATCTTACGAATATTAATGTAATTTATATAATGATTTTATGTGTTTATAAATTTAATAGTTTACTTTTCTCAATTTAGTTTATATTAAAATTAAATATTACATTGGAGAACACGTTAATTTATACTAATTTGATATTCTCATAAAATATTTATTATTAATTTTTCATTCCAATTTCAACTTCAAATTTTGCTCCCAAAAGAAAATAATAGGATCGATTCCAACTTTATTGGATTATATTTTTACATGTATCAAATAAGAGGGGAATAATATTGGTTTATATGAAATTTTCTCTTTATTTTCCTACTTAGAATTAATATAAATTTTGAGAGAATATACCAACTTAATAAATAAAGATATTATACAATTTAATTGAAGTTTATTTATATGTAAATGTAATATATAAATATACTTAATTTCATGGAGTTTTGTTTAAGCTAAATTTTAACTGTCCTAAAAATGTGTGTGAACTTACTGAGCGAAACATGGTACCTACACAGAGAAGAGAAAATAATTTGCACATAAGTCAGTTACAGTTTGATCTATTTATCTCGGGATGAGGAATCAAAATTGTGTACCTACGTATGGAGCATGACTCGTGGGTCCCACTCACCTGCTGCTTTCTTTCAGTAGCATGACTCGCGACAAGATGTGTGGACGACAGTTAAGTGACTTCTACCTCAACTCGGCCTTAAGCCCAACCTCAGTTGATGATTTCATATACCCTAGCTCGAACTTTTACTAGGATAACTTTAGGTATGAGTTCTCTTATTGCAAGTCTTTTGTTGTTTTTTTTAATATCCGTGAGTGTCTGGACCAGCTTGCGCGCATTCTAAAATAAATTAATAACCTTTTGTTGTTATTTTAGAAATTTTCTATCCTATATTTGAAAAATAAAAATTTCCCAACAATTTTTATAGCCCACAATCTATAATATGCACAATTATCTATAAAGTTCAGTATCCTACCTTACATTTGTTGTACCAAAAAAATATATTAGTTAACAGTAGTCTATATTTTTAAATAGCACCGACATTTTATCAAATGAGAGAGGATAACATAAGGTTTAATTTTCACTTTGATGATACAAACTTTCAAAATTCAAAATATTAATTTTACTCCTCAAATTCTTAGGTTTTTCATATTTTAATTTCTATATTTTCAAAATGTCTATTCTTTTTCATAAACTATATAACTATTTTAACCTTTGATTTTATATAAAATCCACAATATCAAATTTTCAAAACCTATTCACATCAGCATATATTATGCCACATAAATTGATGGAACAAATTAGAATAAAGTTAGATTTGAAGATAATAATGGAATGTAGTAGTAGCATGTGGGCAGCGAGTGGTTGAGTCTTGACTAGACCACAGGATTCCCTCACTTGAGGTGTAGAATGTTGTCGGATTGGCGTTGGGATGTCGGGAGGAGAGAACGACATGTAGCCCCAGGTAGGGAAAAAAGGGGTGTACTGGCACAGCAGATGAGATGGAGCGGTCAAAATCAGTACGACGACGGCCAATAATAAGAGGGCACATGGCGTTGCCGGCGGTCTACTTATCATATCCCATTATTCGACAAATATTTTTTTTGGGTGCCCCACTTTTTCCATCTGTCACCAGCAACCAATCAAATGAGTCATATTCTCTTTAATTTCTTAAATAAAATAAAAAATCTTATTGGGTAAATTTTTTTTTAATTCATCTCATTGGGAAAATTTGGAGAACCATGCCACCGCCGTTTATACAGTAAATAGAAAATTCAAGTGAGAACTAGAAGAAGATAACTTATTAGTTTACCTTTAAATTTTAGTATGAATTTTCAATTTCATCGAATTATAATTTAAAATAAAATAAGCGTGGAAATAACTTCATTGTGTATTGAAAAAATATTTTAAAATTTATTTTTCATACGTTTTTATCGATTATAAATAAAATATGTCTGGCATAAAATTAATAGGAGTTTAAAAAAAGAAACAATTTTATGGGTTTTTTTAGTTCGTTGGTTTCAGTAAATTTATACCACGATGGATTTTCGTTGAAACTAGCTAGTTAATTTTTTGAAAATTTTGCATTGCTTCTTGTTAATTTATAGTGTGGAAAAATTGAACATGAGATACAAATTGCAATACTTATCTAGGTTGAAGTGATGAGATGAAATTAAAAATTTATGGTAATTTTTGATTTACGGCACCAAATTTGGGAGTGAATTTGATTTTTCCCCTTATTTATTTTAAGCTAAATATATGTTTCATGGTGGTGTTTTTTTTCCCAATTTAGTCTTTGTTGTTTAAAAAGTTTCAGTATAGTCTCTTATATTTTAATATTTGTCAACAATGTTAAAATTGATTAATGATAAACCTATATGATGCAATATTGAAATAAATATTGATATTTTGTATGCCTGAAGAACTAAAGTGAAAAAATTACTTAAAAATTCAATGACTATAATTGAAATTTTAAGGATTAAATATACTCAACTTTTAAACCATAAATTTAGTACACAAATAAAATATAAAAAAAAAAAAAGAGAAAGGGGATGCATCATTATCAAATGAATTTTAAATATCTTTGAATTTGGCACGACATTTTGGGATATTATATATAAAATGTATATTTTAAAAAGGATAATAGGTGAGACAAGTACATATTGCTCTCTCATTGCTATTTCTCATCATTCCTTATAAGACTTTTATTTCAAATTACAAAGCAAATAAAGTTGATTAAAAATTTCCCTTTTAAGAAAAAGGCTTAAATTGATATACACAACTTTGCTTCGACCACATAATTTCCTATCTACCTATTTTGAAAAATGGGTATGCAAAGTAGAGATATTTTGCAGCTCCTTTTTCAATCCACGTTTTGAACTTTTATCAGTATCAATAATTAAAAACAAGACTATATTGTAAAACTTTATCTTTATTTTGTTTGTATTATAGAGCCTAGTTTCATTTTTAAATAGTGCTTTTTCATATAGAATATGATTTTTTTAAAATAGGAAAATCAAAAGATTCATCAACTTTTATCATTTCTAACATTAATGGCTCTATCCACTTACCTAAACGGATTGAGAAGTATACATTTATATAGAAAATACAGTATTGAGTAAATGAAGACTTATACATACGTAAATACATTATTGATCGTCCGGAACTTTGTAAAAGTCAAGCCGACCAGTCTAGATCTCAACGACCAATCATCGTAAGGAACGAATCGAGGATCACAATGTCACTTGTCACTATCTTTAACCCACTTTTTCCACGGCTGTCGTTAGCTCGTGTTGTGAGATGTTTGGTCAAGTCCTATAACAAATGAAACCTTCATTTTTTGTACGTTGAAGTTTTCGAGACGAATATAATCGCCCTCGAAGCGATGTTGAAGACCTGAAATTTACAAATAGAAGGGTTTGCCTTACTTTTCAGGTATATAGAACTATTATTACTACATAAATCAGATTTAGACTTACTTGAGCGTCAGAGTCTTTTCTCTCTTTATCCAGGTTACATACGTTCATTAGCCACATGAATTCGAACTTTGCATAATTGGTCAATTTTGTGATCAAACAATATTATGAATTATAAAAGTGTATGATTTGAGAAGTAAAATTTAGTTGTCTAAATTTAAAGTTAGCATGCTTATTATATAAAATACACGAGGGTTCACACTCTATAATGACCACTTATGTTGTCCCGTGAAATTAGATACAAGCTCAGGTATGAAATATAACTTCATAAAGGTCAGAATGAGGCTGAACCGGTGGGATTTATTAGAAAATTGGCCGCTTGGATGTGGATGTGGCTTATAACGATTCACAATCTTGTACATTAATTGGGTTGGTGATAAAAAAATCTGAGAAGGAAAAATTATAGCAGTTAAGAATTAAAAAAAATGTAAATATTTATTGTGAATTTTACTATATGCAAATCCTTCAAAATTGATAATAGCTTAAATTTGCGACTAGTTCAAGAGATCTGGACGAGAGAGAAGTAAACTTTATCGGAAGAGCTCGTTTGGTAACGTTTTTGTTTCTTTTTTATTGTTCTCGCTTCTCATTTTTTATATGTTTGGTAACTCATGTTCCTAACACTTGAGAAATATTTTAAAAAATTGGCTAAATTTTGGAAATTACAGAAAATAATTTGGTTATTCCCGTTTTCGTTTCGAGGTGAGTTTAGCTTAAATAACATATTTTGTGCATTGTGTTTTTTAGAATTAAACTTCATGGTGCTCAAAATCCGACGAATCGATCCAGGTCGTCTTACTAATGGGATGCCCTAATACGTTACAAAATTTAGCTTTAGCTAATGATCCAAGCAGAGTAATAATAGGAACTAGTGTATCGAGTTTCTTCGTAGCATTATCTATTAGAAATGAATTTTCTAGCATCTGACTCCATACCACTGAAGGATTTAGTCGCACACTTGAAATATAGCCCAAAAAGTCAAGAGAACGCTTGGATAATTGGTTTATATAGATCCTTTCTGGTTGTGACCACACATAAAAATGACATTGCCATAAATTGACAAGGTAATATTTCCACTTATTCATCAGAAGTGGCGTATCTTTTGAAACCAGAATAGATTTTCCTTGATATCTAACATAAACTCCTTGACGAGCTCAACTATTCAGGTTCAATTCCCATCACAGGTTGTTGTATTAAAAAAAACTAAAAATAAAAATTATAAACAAAATATCACGAAATGACCTAAATTACTTCAATTCGCTTGAACGATTCCAAAAACTATACGTCGAAGTGGTTCCTTCTTGGGCGTGTTATCCATTTTAATTCAAAGCTAACACTTTTTATATTTGAAATTCAAGAAATTTACTATTTAAGTTTGATCTATACCATTGAATTTTTGTCAACCATTGTAGTTGGCTAAGTAGATATTGAATAGTAAGTGGTTTTGGGAGAGTATCTTTTTTTTAGTATAACAAATACGTGGATTTTCCGCTTCAAATAAAAACGTAGATGTTATATCTATAATGTAAAAAATCTCACATATTTACAGATAACAAAACATTTTAAAATGTAGCTTAATATGAGAATAATTCGATCCTAAAATTATATTAAGTTTAAATCTCTGAAACCTTACTAAGAGAAATAATTCAACCAAGATTTTGATTGAAAGTATTTATCATGGATTAAATCCTTGCCAGAAAAAATAAGTCAAGCCTTTCATTATCCAAAATTTAATTTCTTTAATATATTATTGACCTATAGGCTAGAGTTCATTGGTCCATTTTACAATTATCTTTTTAGGAAAAAAAAAAGCTTGTTCAGGGGAGAACTGATTTAAACTCGAATGAATTTCGACAAATTTTTTTAGAGTAACGTTTTTCTCCAACTATATAAAAAATTATTAGAATTTCTTATTGATAAAATCAATTATCAGAAAGAATTAATGATCTTCATTAAATATAAAATTTTATTATTATTATTATTATTATTATATCATATTATCATCCAGCTTTTGGCCATCAATTATCATTCAGCGTACTTTCTCATCTATTTTGCTTCGTATTCTCGGCTCCTCTTTCCCTCCCTTTCCCCTTCAATCACATCTCTCAAAATACCTTTCCTTTCGTCTGAGCTTTCTACAAAAATCAACCCCCTCATCGCCTCAAATCTGTTCTCAAATTCTTTTACAAATCTTCTTATATATATTTTTAGTTCATTTTTTTGATTCCTTGCCGTGAGCATCGCAAGGATTGGATTCTTTTCATCTTCAAAGTTCAATCATCTCCTCCATATTTTCCCCCCTACACTAATCTCTGCAGTCTGACAATTTCGATTTGAAGATCCTTTTCTTTATCCTTGTGTGCATTTTTTGGGGAAATACATTATCCCACCCTCCCCCAAAAGACAGAAGAGCTTTTTTGTTCGTTTTGGGGCTTGGGGTTTTTGCTCACTGACTATCTTCTGTTTGTTAGATTCTTCATTCTGTACCATATTCTGGGCTTTTAAGTGTGGTTTTGAAGTATTTTTGGCGGTGTGGAGTTGGATTTTTTAGCTTTTAGTTTATTTTTTTCCGAAGCTTGGAAGTTTTTCTTCATCGTCGCGTTTAATTCGAAGTACTTGGATCTGGGATGCGCTTGGAGATTGAAATCCTTAGGAATTTGCGGATTGGCAGTTGAACTATTTCTAAAAAGGTAATATTTTGGATTGCTGGTTCTGCTGGATTGGGTTTTGAACTGTAATTCGATTCTAGCAACATCATGGAGCATGTAATTGGTGGAAAGTTTAAGCTGGGCCGGAAGATTGGAAGCGGATCCTTCGGTGAACTGTATTTGGGTATGCAATTTAGTCTCCTTTGAGATGGGATTTTCAATGTGTCTATGTTCTTGTCAATTATTTTGAGAAGAAGATTATGCTGGTGTTGATATCGGCTTGGTACGGATTGTTGTAGGTACTAATGTGCAAACAGAGGAGGAAGTGGCTGTTAAGCTGGTATGTGAATGATCTTCACATTCCTTTCTATACTTTGTGCAGAACTTTAGGAAGAAAATATGAGTTTGTTAGTTTAGTTTTATCTACTCAATCGTTCATTGTAATTTATAATTTGTCTATTAGTATTTAGAACTTAATTGCAATTTTATTTAACTTTTTAAGATTGCAATAATGGAATTTTTTTGAACTTTTCATCAATGATATGATATTATGAGTCTTCTCCCTCCATGAGAGTTTGCTAGTGTTCTTGGGATGGTGGGAATTTGTTTCAATCTTACCAAAACCTGTTCTAAATTTTCAATACTCAATAATGATATATTTTTTTTCTTGCAGGAATCTGTGAAAACCAAGCATCCTCAGCTTCACTATGAGTCAAAACTCTACATGCTTCTCCAAGGAGGAAGTGGGTTTCTCTTGTTTCTTGCTTCCCTGATGAGTTTGATATTGATTTTATTATTGTTTTAGTTTACAACCCATGTGTGTAACTAATATATCATTCATTTGGATAGCTGGTATTCCTCATCTCAGATGGTTTGGAGTTGAGGGTGAGTATAATGTCATGGTTATTGACCTCCTTGGGCCAAGCCTTGAAGATCTGTTCAACTACTGTAGTCGGAAACTGTCCTTGAAATCGGTTTTAATGCTTGCCGATCAGTTAGTAAGTATGAATTAATTGGAAGAAGGTTCTGTTTAAAATGGTTACCACTTACCCCATTTATTCTCTTCATTTGTTCCTTTAGATAAATCGAGTTGAGTACATGCACTCACGGGGTTTCCTTCATCGCGACATTAAGCCCGACAACTTTCTAATGGGACTGGGGCGGAAGGCTAACCAGGTATTTAGTATTGTGTATCTCATCTGGGCATGCCTATTTTTCTTTTATACACTTCACATCAATTGATTGCATCTGAACCTTCAGATCATAGAGCAGCATTTATTCTTGAAAAAGATGTGCCGGCCATGTGTTTTGGTCGGTAATATTTAAAAGATAAGTGACGATATATATACATAAAAAAGATCACAGCCAGAAGGATGCCTCATTTAAGAGATGCTATATACTCAATATCATTGATGAAAAGTTTAAAAAGTCGCCAATTACAACCTAACTGTAGTTATTATATACATAGAGCTTTTAATTTTCTTCTTGATCGATAAAGCTAGATAGAAGACAGCTAAACACATGAATTCTTGCGGTTTGAGATGCTAGAATTTTAGATAATGTAAAGAATATTGTCATTGTAAATTTTTTTCTCCTGTTATGTTTTGGCTGTGTGAATGCGGGTGTATGTGGGCATTGGAAAATTGTTTTATTGAGCTAGTGCATGATGATGTTTGCCTAAGTATTGCCTATTGGCTCATTATTTGTCGAACAGGTATATATTATTGATTATGGTCTCGCAAAAAAGTATCGGGATCTTCAAACACACAAGCATATACCGTACAGGTATTTTAAGTGCAAAGTAAAAAGTCGGGGCAATGATACTGTTGGCTCATTTTCATTGTAAACGTAATTAGTTTCTTGGTTATGTGAAAGTGCAGTTCGCTAGCATTGTTGATCAGTATAATGTTTTCTTCCATAAGAACGATAAAGAAGTAATGTAAAAACTCCCTTGAATGAACAATGAACCTATTTTTTTCTTTTTTCTTGGCAGAGAAAATAAGAATCTCACAGGAACCGCTCGCTATGCGAGTATTAATACTCACCTTGGAGTTGGTCAGTCAACTTTTGACTCTTGAATTCATCCATTATAAATTTAAATTCATCGAAACTTATCCAATATATATATATTTTGTTTGATTGCAGAGCAAAGCAGAAGGGATGATCTTGAATCTCTTGGCTACGTGCTTATGTATTTTCTCAGGGGAAGGTTTGATGCTTGTTTTGTATACAGTCTAATCTTCTTGTCTTTTTAACCCAGTCCAAAATTTAACTTTGTTTTTCTTTAACTTGTTATTTCAGCCTTCCCTGGCAGGGTCTGAAAGCAGGGACTAAAAAGCAAAAATATGATAAGATTAGTGAAAAGAAAATGGTCACTCCAATCGAGGTATTTCTACATCTTTTACATAAGCCTTGGAAGAGAAACATAATAAACCACCGTGGTTTAATCTAGTGGTCAAATGAGTGAACTGTAAATGCGTAGCCTGATTTCTTCTCAAAGGAAATATATGGATAATTTATAACGGGAAACAATTGTTGGTTTTGTATGGAAACCTGATTCCTTATCTGCTACTTTGTTTGGTAATATTGATGAGCTTCGAATATTTAGACTTGCTACATTAAGGGGCTACCTTGTTTTTTTAGGTACTCTGTAAATCTTATCCAACAGAATTCACATCATACTTCCACTATTGCCGATCTCTAAGATTTGAAGACAAACCAGATTATTCTTATTTGAAGAGGCTTTTCCGCGATCTTTTCATTAGAGAAGGTTAGTTCTAAGTCTGAGTACCTACTCGAACTACTGCAGTAACAGTCAAAAGACCTTATTTAATAGATATGACTACTAATATGCATATTGAAGCATTCTTTCTCCATTTTCTTATTAAAGTTTTATAAACTTGTCGTTGGGCATGACAATTGTAATTGTTACAGGTTACCAATTTGACTACGTGTTCGACTGGACTGTATTGAAATACCCACAGACTGGCTCGAGTTCTAGAACACGAGTAAGTACTTGAAAAGAGAAAAAAAGAAGGAACTATATCTATTTACCTTGACGGTCAGTTTTATCTTCTTTTTTTTTTGTTCTTATTCCTGTTTCTTTCCATGATTTTGTCATCAATAGGCCACTGGGAAAGCAGCTGTAAACCCTGGACCATCTGCAGAACGAGTGGAGAGGCCTTTAGGTATGGAAGTTTGTTTTAAAGCTCACATAGTTTCACTTGCATTGGCCACTAATGTGAATTCTCAGATAGAATAGTTTTTAAGTTCAACTGCTGGGGAACATCTGGTTAGTTGCTGTTTTTTTCTTTTTTTGTTTAACTTCAGTGGTCTTTTAGCATTTGGGTCTCTAACAGGGGTGTCGTGTTGGTTCAGTTTTGGGCAAAGGCTCTTTATTGCTTAACTTGATTGTCTTTATGTTCCCATGATCTTTTTCCCTAAATCTCAAGTGAATTGAAATTATTTATTCTCTTTTAATATGTCAATTAGTGGGACAAGATATCCGAGATAGATTCTCGGGTGCGGTAGAGGCTTTTGCTAGAAGGAATTGCTCTGGGCATGGTCTACACAGTGATCACTCCAGACACAGATCTGTGCCTTCTTCCAAGGATGTGGTGAGTTATAATTTACAATAAAAAATTTCAGCTAAATTACAAATTTGACTCAGGCATAGGTTCAATTTGGTCCCTACGATTTTAAAAGTTCCAATTTAGTCCCATGGTTCGGGCTTAGTCTTAAGTCAGGTAATCTTAAAGTTTCAAGTTGGTGCCTTATTCCTATGGTTTTGTTTCTATTTTACTGTGTCCTAAACCCGAATAAACTAAACATTGTTACTCAAATAGAAAACTTCCATGTGAAAAAATTCATCAATGTGGTGACGGTAGGAACAATTTGTATAGGGGCTAAATTGAAGCCTATGGAGACTAAATTGGAACATTTAAGATTATAGAGAACTAAATTGAAACTTTTGGAAAAACTAAATTCTTTGCTTTTGGAAAAACTAAATTTTTTGAACAAAGAACCAGAGCTAAATTAAAACTTTTAAAAATCAATAAAGACCAGATTGAAACTAAGCCTAAACCATAGGGACTAAATCTATACTTTTAGAACCATAGAGAATAAATTAAAACTTTTCTCAAACCTCTAAGTTGTAATATAATCTAAAAGATCACATGTTAGAATCATTCGCCTAACTGTTTGTTATCTGGTAATAGTTTTTACCGACTAGAGCTCGAATACTTCAATTTATAGTAATTTCTTTTCCTCTTCCAATGTTGCAGCAACCAGATTCAGAAAGAGCTCGGAGTTCTTCTCGGCAAGGCAGTGCTTCTAAGAGGCCTGTATTGTCAAGCAGCCGGCCCAGCTCCTCTGGGGAGCCAAGCGAACTCCGGTCAAGCCAACTTTTATCAAGCAGCAGTCGTCTCTCTGCTTCTACTCAAAGGATTCAACCCGGGACCGAGTCAAAATCATCCTTTCTCCGTTCTTCAGCGACAAAAGGCAGCCGTGATGATGCACTTCGAAGCTTTGAATTATTATCAATTGGCACTGGAAAGAAGAAATAAAAACTTGATCATCAGGTGAGGAAGTACAAGCATTCTCTGTAGTTCCTGTTGGATTTCATCAATATGGTTACAATTTTAACATCTGTAATGATGTCTTCGTATTCATCGTCGGATTCCAACCCCGCCCCGGTATGTATATGTGCCTCTTCAGGGGTTCATATGATTACTTACAAACCTTTTTAGATTCATCAAACAGAGAGATTAACAAAAGCTCTCGGGAAATTGTATCATTTGAGGCGGCAGTAACTGTAATAAATTACCCCTCTCGAATTCGTTCTTTCATGGAAAAGAGCTTCGACATGAACCCGAAAGAGGTATACACCCCTGTGGCCTTAGCTGATGATGCAAAGGGATGGAGACGATTCCAGCTGATCTTTTTGGATGAATAGAAAGAAAAGTTAGCTTTAACTTTCTGTCCTGATTTTCCTGTCTGCTGTTACTGTTATCCTATAAAAACCTGATTTAAATGGTGGCTCTAATGAAAGAAAAAGAGAAATAGTTGCCTTATTGATCACAGCAAGAAGAAATTGAATGACATAACATATGAACAATTTTATGGTGTGTTTGTTCTATTTGAGAAAATGAACTCTCACCGAAATAATCATACGATTCAAATAATTTGAACAAAATTCTCACTTTAATCTCTATAGTTTAGCAATACTAACTTGTAGTTAATTAAATGTTAAAAAGATAATTTTTTTTCAAAGAGTGGGAGGTCAAGTGTTTGAATCGCATAGGAAATAGGAAAAAGAACTTGTAGATAGATATATATTTTTTTAGTTCAACAAATGTGAAATAGGGACTTGAATGAGAATTTGTTGAATAATTAATGATTTGTTGAGATGTCGCTTCACTTCGAGTCTCTCTCGATATGGTCTCCTACCACTTTTCTTTCTCCCTCTATAATAAAAAAGTTGTAGTTTTTTTTTATAGCAAAATACTTGTTTGCTGACATGAGCATGATTCAATAGGTCAAATTTTTATATTTTGTTCAAACAAAAAAACCTCAGCCCTTCTAGTCATATTTCTAGGTATCAAAAACTCATATGGGAGATCGAACGAGAGAAGAAGTATATGTCAATTATTAAACTATGTTTATGTTGGTTAAATTTAACTATCTTTCTTGTTAAATGAATATTCTTTTTAATGAGAGTTTAACCATTACATGGAACTTTATCATAGAAAATTTACTTTTAATTTATAATTTCTAAGAATAAAAATAAATGAGGAATCGTGGAAACCTGATCCTAACGATTTTTTCATGGGGAATCTCTTCCCTAATCTACAAAATTTCGTGAGGACATGAAATTAAATAGGGTGGCGACAATGACGCCTCCTGTCCAAACATTTCTAACAATGACAAGACTTATCCAACACAAAAATGAAAGATTTTTAAAGTATATAGTTTAGATAGACACAACTTTAAATTATAAAGATAAAAGACACACAACTAAAAATAAAATAAAAAAATTTATAATTTAACTTTTACAATATTACAATTAAAAAAGTATGAATTTAAATCTACAATCTTTTTAATAGGATATTTTGATTTTTTTTTTTGAGAAGATAATTTTGAATTTAAATCTACACTACAATCTTTAAAAAGGGATATTAAACTTCGTATTAATTACAAATAAAATTTTACAAGAAAGAAAAATTATTGGGGCGGGGCCCAAGCCAACGCCGGCGATTCGACGATTACTGCTTCGTCGATCAAAATCAACGGCTCCTGTTCCATTAAAAGAAATGACTAGCAGTTACATCCGTACGATTGCCCATTTTGCTGGACCTCGCAGCGAACTACAGTTCTTCTGCAGTTACAGTCGGGTAGGAGCCGGCGAAGCTTTTTCAATTTTCCCTTTGAATCCAAAAACCCTCATTTTCTCTCAGAATAAACCCTCCATTGAATTTGAATTCCCTCTCTACTTCCACATGCAGCTCCGTCGCTCTCATTCCTCAGCGATCGTTTCGTTTCAGAGCTTCTAATTTAGCGGAAACCGTCGTTGTTTGGTTCCAAGTTTTGTTGATTTCCAGTTGCTGCTGCATCGTTTGTTCTTTGGAGATCTCGTTCAAGTGTTTCTCACTGGAGTGAGAGTAGAGTGTCGAGTTCATGAAGATTGGGAATTAGGTTTTCGTTTGGTGGTGATTTGAATTTGAAGTTCGTATGAGAGTTAGATAGAGTGATTTTAGCGCGGTGATGGATACGGAGGCTGAAGGTGACGTAGAGTTGCTGTTGGATACTGAGATGTTGCAGCTTCCGGATGTGTCGCCGTTTGTTCTGAAATCCAATCCCTATGTCGTTGAGGAGCTGTTTTCGCAGTGGCTTTCGCTTCCCGAGACTGGCCGACTGGTACTTCGATTCATCTTTATGCTTCTCTTTGTATAAAGTCAGTAAATCGATATAACTTGAGTGTTCTGTACTTCGAAATTCATGATTTAAGTTCTTTCTGGCTTCCTACAAAAGCGAAGGAAAAAACTAGTCTATTATGGTTGCCACTGAGTGCGTTTAGGGATTCCTTCTGCCGAAATTTTCGTATTGTGTAATAATTTGTACTGTAAACGTTCATCTCGATTCCCGCCTCTTCTGAAGACCCTTTTTCCCCAAATTATATTTTGGACTCAGGTAAATTCTTTGATTGCTGATGCGAAGTCTGGTGCTTCTTTGAATGTTGGCGGGCACTCTACTGTAAATTCTCTACCTTCCATGTTTCCTGGTGGCAGTACACCTCCACTCTCACCACGCAGTGCCTCTGGCTCCCCACGTACTGTGAAACAGAGGGTTAGCCCTTCTTCGTTAGGCTCTCCACTTAAATTGGTTAGTGAGCCAACAACAGAGGCTATACCACAGGTATAAAGGAAACAGTAGATTGCTCGTTACGTAGTAGTTTAAGTATGCAGGGTTTATACTTGACTACAAAAAGTTTCGTTAGAGATGTTACCGGTTGACAGGGCCTCATGAGTCTTATAAATTGTTTGCAGTTCTATTTTACGAGTGGCCGTCCACCACTGAATGCCATGACAGAAGATTTTCTATCTAAAGTGAATCAATTTTTTTTGTCTCGCTTGGATGGAGTGCAAATAAAGGGTGCGTTTATGTTCTTTTCTTGCTAGTTCCTGTGGTTCTTTTTGTTCGTTTTTTGAGGAATCGTATTTCATTTTCCTTTTCCATTGCAGATTTTAAATTTGTCACGAAGGTGATCTGCAAGTTACCCTCATTTCTCTCTGCTGCTCTCTTTAGGAAGATTGACATAAACTGCAATGGAAAAGTATCAAGGTATGCATTTTAGAATGCAAGTATAAATATGTAGATATGAATTTAAAAATGAAAGTAATTCAGGTAAGCACATAGGCACATAGGGGCTCCTCCCACTGTATTCCTTTGGATACTTTTCTTTGTTTCCACATTTGTTGAATAATTTGATTGATGTTTGGAATATGTGCAACATGGGAATATCAATTAAATCCTGATGAATGACCAGTATTTGTTTTATTGACGTTTTTAGAAGTCCATAATGACTTTGTTGCTCATTTTATAGAGAACAGGTCATTGATTATTGGATTACAAGCAACATGTTGACGAGGGATTTAGCAACCCAAGTATACACTATTCTCAAGGAACCAGAGCGGAACTACCTTGTTCAGGTTTGTTTTCTATCAAAAGATGAATATTTGTGCTTAGAATTCAACGTTGGTGTGTGTGTGTAATTTTTTATTATAGCTTGGCTGAGTTCTTTTCTATGAGAAAATAATCACAGGGAAAACTGTCTTTTATGCTCAATTCTGGATATTTTTTTCCCTCAAAATAAAAGTCTGTATCTTCAATCAGGATGATTTCAAACCTGTTCTACAAGAACTTTTGGCAACTCACCCAGGGTTGGAATTTTTGCAAAGTACACCAGAATTCCAGGAAAGATACGGTGAGCAGGTTACCTTGATGTGTTATCAGGAACTAATTTTGTAGATATGTTGGTTCTTTATACATTGGTGACCTCAATCACATTGTTGCTTTTACTAATATAATCTAATGATGATCCCATCATGTCAATTTGTCGATACTCGATAGAATATACCTAGTGAAGTTTTAGTGAAGCTGCCATACTTTCAACCTAAACAAGCCTAATAACTGCTAATTGCTCAAGTGATTGATTTAAAATTTATTTAATCAATTGAAAATATTCAAACCTATTTTCTAAAGTTTTTTTTTTTTTTTTTTCAAACTCATGAATTTTTCACTTACTTCCTATGGTTAACTTAATTGTTTAATGGCTTGATCTAATAAATTTTAGACCACTTGTTTTTCTTTTTTTTTGTTTGTTGTTCAAAATTACATGCTAGTCTTATCTTCATATGGATCTAATGTCTTGCAATGTGAAACTGATTCTGCGTGTACTTTCTCTTACAAATGGAACAGCTGAAACAGTCATATACAGGATATTTTACTATATTAACAGATCCGGTAACAGTCGTATTACCCTCAGGGAGTTGAAGCGTGGGAACTTAATTGCTGCAATGCAGCATGTGGATGAGGAAGAAGATATCAACAAAGTCCTAAAGTATGCTCACATGTTGACAATGCTCAGTTTTCTTAGAGGAAATCAGAATGCTATCTATAGGAGGCAGATATTTTGATACGCACCCGCTTTCTAAGTGTGCTTGAATAATCACAGATATTTGCTCTCCCCAAGGGAAATTGAACATGATAAAAGACTCTCTTTGTTTATCAGTTAATCTTCTATCGAGGAGATGGTGAATTACTTTTTGGTCATTTTATGAAGAACTGAGGATTATTTTATTATATTATTTTTACTTTAATCCTTTTGAAAAAATAGTCTACATGCTATTTTTCTATATATGCTGAAAAAGTCTGTTTTTCATGTTTGGATTTAAATCTTTTGTTGTCACAATTATTGTCCTTTTGTGGTTTAGGTACTTCTCATACGAACACTTCTATGTGATATATTGCAAATTTTGGGAGCTTGACAATGATCACGATTTTCTTATTGACAAAGAGAATATCATCAAGTATGGTAACCATGCTCTAACTTTTCGGATTGTTGATAGAATCTTTTCTCAGGTTTGAATTTTTCCCCTTGGATTACTCATCCATTGTCTGGTTTTGCTTTAGCTTTACTCTTAGGCCGACAAGCTTTTTATTTGCTGAATCTTTTGCTCTCAGGTTCCAAGAAAATTTACTAGTAATATTGAAGAGAAGATGGGATATGAAGACTTTGTTTACTTCATTTTGGCTGAAGAGGATAAATCATCTGAACCTAGTCTTGAGTACTGGTATATTTTACTCTGTTGTGCCTGGAGGTCGTTTCAATTGTGTAAACTGATTAACTTCTCTAGTTTAATGCATTGGTCTTTGAATTCTTAACGTAATATGTTATACAACAATATTTTAAAAATATTCCTATACCTCAAATGCAAGAAAGGTAGAACACCAGACTTGGATCGAATTATCAACTGCAAGATCAAATGTCATGAAGTTGTCTAATTATCCTTGTGGTGTATTTTCACTAGAAATTTTAGTTGCAGCCTCTCGTCAATTTAGATCCTTGTCTACGTTCCTTTGTAATTTTTCAGATCTTTTCCCAATCTCAATTGGAATGTAGTGGAGGTCTTTATCTTTCTCACTAGGGGGAGTAACATAAACAGAAAAAAGGATGTTATGTGATCTTTTAGATTGATTTTTCTAGGTTCAAATGCATTGATCTGGATGGAAATGGAGTGCTTACGAGGAATGAATTGAAGTTTTTTTTTGAAGAGCAGTTGCATCGAATGGAGTGTATGACTCAGGAACCAGTGCTTTTTGAGGACATATTGTGCCAGATTTTTGATATGATTGGACCAGAGGTCATTTCATTTCCTTGTCCTAGTTATTGCTCCACCTTTTGTGACCTTCATCGACTTGTTTCATCTGAGAATATTATTTTTGTTGATGTATCTTTCATTTATAGAACGAGGAATGCATATCCTTACGAGATATCAAAGGCTGCAAACTAGCTGGAAATGTTTTCAACATCCTTTTCAATCTCAACAAGTTCGTTGCCTTTGAAAGTCGTGACCCATTTCTAATACGTCAGGTAAATGTGAAGTTTGTACCTGAATTTTCAGGCACACATGGATTTGGACTTCAATTGTGTTGTGCTTTTAAGTGCTGATGACAAGATTAATGTTCTATGTCGTCAGGAACATGAGGATCCAACTTTGACTGAATGGGATCGATTCGCACATAGAGAATATATTCGTCTTTCCATGGAAGAAGATGTTGAAAATGCTTCAAATGCAAGTGGAGATGTCTGGGATGATCCACATGAGGCTCCTTTTTGACATAATGGGTAATCTCTTGCTCCTCCATTCCTCTTCTTGTGTTTTTTATTTTATTTTGTTTTTATTTTTATTTTATTTAAATTTTAGATGTGGAATATGCTCCCAATTGAAACTGGAGTTGTCTGAGTGGACTTATTGTAAACCTCCTCCAGCTCAAAAGGCAAAGGAGTTCCAAAAAAATAAAGTGAATATAACTCCTAGGGGGACAAACGCTAAACCTCACACATCTCAAACTGAAGACATTTCCCTTAGAAAGTTCTCTTGGGCCCGTTTACTTAAAGCTCAATCCCGCGACCCATACTCACCCATAGGTTTCCCTTTCAAGAAGAAGCCTCGAAAGCCATTCAGCTAGCACAGAGATCTTTTTGTTCATGATGAGGTGCCTATGCCACCTAGCTGAATGGAGTGTGATGCAACCTTCCAATTAATTAGATGAACTTCCTTTTCCATGTGATGACCCTTTGAAAGAAAATCCCTAAGAAGTTCTCAATAATCTTGGTCACTTTCCTGGGGATATTGAACATGGAAAGGTAAATAGATGGAAAAATAGACCGAGCACCTTGATAAAAGTGAGCCTACACATCTGGATAAAAGAGAGTAATTCCTTTTACAAATTCTAGCCTTATTCCTTTCCATCAGGATTGATCAAAATGCCTTAAACTTCGCTTGCTTGCTACAGCTACGAGCGTGTGAGAGCGTCTGGTTTGTGTCCTCATGTATTAGCTTCTCATTTTGTGGGATTTTAAATGCAGGTGATGTTGAACACAGAAAAAGTACTTGCTTGATCGAATTATTGGACGATAGACGAGAGATGTCCTTCGCATCACTGCAAAAGGTTGGATGCACGAGAAGTGTACATTAAATGAAGTTCCCCAGCAGGCTATATAAGTCTGGCCAAGTGAGACTAAATTCAATGCTTTACATATTTCCATGATATCCTTTTGCCGTTCCTCTGCTCAATTTTTGATTTGCAGCAACAGCTCATATCTCTCACTTTGTCGTTGTTCGAGTTACTGTTGTATTTTACATCGTATAAGCTTTTACAGATTGAATTTGATGTCGTTTTGTTAGATTCGCAGCCCAAATAGCACACCTGAAATTGTATGTCAAATTGTCGATCACAATGTTCCACCCGAAATCAATTGTATAGAAACGACACTCACCCCTTCCTGTGGCCAAGTCTGTTGAGTTCTTTGTAATTGCATTGTCTCTTAGATAAATTCTTCAGATATTGCTTGAATTTGCAGCCAGCTAAACCTCCAGATTGTTCCAAATCACAGGCTTTATTGGTGCCAGAGGCATATGCTCTTAAGATTGTGGGTTTGAATCTCCACTTCAACATGCTCTACTAAAAAAATGGGTGCCAAATTTTCATGGGAAAAAAGGTTGTCATCGTTTAAGATTATTAAGTCTTAAGTCTTAATTAAAGTCTTAAGTCTTAATTAACTAGTTCTAACTGTATTTTGAAGGTTTATTTAAAAGAGTGGTGTTAATTGAGAATAAACTTGAGAGGTAAGAAATTAACAATACTAAAAGGAAGAAAATAACCTTTTTGTTTTTTTTTTTGGAAAGGAGAGAAATTTTGAAAGACAATTTTTCTGACTTTCTCTGAAATCTGTGTCATAAATGGTATAAAATAAGGCTCCACGTAAATAGTATAAAATAAATATGTATCTTAAAATATAGAATAAAGTATAAAATTTTACAAAAATAGTATAATTCAATCAAAGTTTAACTTGCCAAATTGCTCTATAATTTGGATTAGGTTTATCGTTGATATTGACCTTAAAAAGCAGTAAAAGCAGTAATAGGTACACAACTATTGCACGGTAAATAAGTTTTATCGTAGTCATTTGACCCTCCTAAAAATATCTATTGAATTCATCAAGTTGTTCCAAAGAATCAAAACATAATAGAATTTCTTGTTGGTTCTCTATAAAATACTCATTTAGATAGGACTTCTAAAATCGTCGTAGTCAGAAACCTGTACTAATTATCTTATTCACTTAAATCATGTTTTATGCTTTAATGTTAACATTTGGTCTAATTGAAATTTTAGGTAATTAGAAAAAAAATAGAATAATTAAAAATAGAATAAAAAATAGAATAAAAAATAGAATAAAATAAGAAACAAACCATAATATCTTCATTTTGTGTTATACATAATATGCTATTTTTGTAAAAATATAAAAGCGTTGATGTAGTTAAATAAACATTATTAAAAAAAAGTAAATATATATTATTTTATTGTGTAGTAGAAATTTTGAAAATAATTTTGATGTAACTTAAAGGAAAGTTAACAGTTGGCTGGCAATAAAATTGTTTGAGATTATTCTCATTTTGCTAATTGGAATTTTGAACCAATAGCTATTAAATTCTAATTAAATTGTTGTATATGCTCTTTAGATTCATTTTCAAATATATCCTAAAAAAATATTTATTTCAAATTCTAACCTTGATTACCCAATTTTATTACTTTTTTTCCTTCATTAGATTTAATAAAACCTAAATAGAAAACTAGATAAGTAATATTAGTATGTACAAGCTGAAATTTTAGTAAGACCACTCTCTTGTTTCTTAATAAAGAATATTATAAAATTTTCTTTTGTTCTTCTACCGTGTGAATCTTATCCATATACAATAATCTATTAATTTTCATGATTTATCTCTTCAATAAATAGTGTCAAATATATCAGAGAATTTACGTGACACTAATGTAGATTGACGTGATACTTATATATCAATAATTTTTAACACCCATTAATAACATGATTATAGATGGTTGAGATCAATAAATTTAAGTATTAAGAATTAAATCCAAAGTATAATTTGATGAAATAAAAAATAATTCTTTAATAAAACTTTTAAATGATCTCTTTAGATATAAAACCAATAGTCAAATGACCACTCAAAGACACTTCATTTGTTTTCATAATTGAAATTCCAATCTTATGTTTTGGAATGTAATCTTGTGGGCCCCACGCTCTTATTCAACAATAAGAAAACTATAGGATTAATTACCATTTATGTTTAATCCATAATATATACTAAATATAAAGCATCTAGAAGGAAAATTAATTAATTCAAACACCCAGCATTACATTAGGTTGTATTAATGCAATTATAGAATTTAATGAAATTTAGAAACCACATATTATGGAATCTCCTTAATGACTTTAATTTAATTTTGTATTTTTATCAATTGTGGGAAGAAATTAAAGACATTACCAAAAGATTTAAAAAAAAAAAAAATTGGAGAAAAATCTAAGAAAAATTGTTAAAATCTATAACCCTTTTGTTGTAATGATTTTTGTGAGAAGACAGATCTCCTTCCAAATTTGGACACAGCACTTGGGGAAATTACAACTCCACCATCATAATTGTCATCATTTATTCAATAGCTTTTGGTTCGTAGCTAAAAATTTATGTTCTTCCCTTAATCAGATTACTCATTTAATTCTTCAAATCAAGATATTACCATCTTTAATATCAAAGAGAGAAAGTCCAAAGCATAAAAACGAAAATTATGGAAAGAAAATACTACAAACTTCAATGCAGGTACTGAAAATGAGACGTGATTATCGATTCTATGCTATCATATTTTTCTTTAGAAAATAAAGATGAAGCTTCATTGCGAATGACTTTTGTGACACACTTTCTGGTCTTCAGCTTATGGTTACTCTAAATTGGAAGCTTGTGTTTAAATAATACAAATGAACAAATTCAAGAATATTTAATTTGTTTACTTGTCCTTATGATATGCGTAGAAACGTTATAACTTAAAATGTGGGTTCATAAGTACTTGATTCATGTAAGAACATTCCTTTCTGTAATTCGTAAGATTAATACTCATATCGTGAGATAGATAAAATTTATGTACCAAACATAAGCTAAATTTCTTATCGTAAACTAAACATATTTTCTAAGTTAACTAGATACATCAGCATCCTTTAGCTAACACTACATCATAAATATAGAGTGTATATTTATCTTTGTTTTACGAACTTTTTTGTTTAAAACATTACATCACGATACAAGATGCAGATTCTAAGTTTTGATCCAACTATGTCTTAACCGTTGGATTGTGTTCAAATTGACGATAATATTTTGGGAGAGGTTCAGATGCACACCACTGTAGGGTCAAGTTGGCATTTCTATTTTTCTTGTAGGCGCAATTTTTTATTTATTGAGGGCTACAATAATATTAAATATTTAATATATAGAAATATTTCTTAGGTACATCTCTTAGTTTCCAAATTTATCACATTTTTCTAAATAATATACATGAAATTAAAATACAAATCTAGTATGTATTTACTATTTTCATTAGAAAAAAAAAACACACCCACAATAAAAATATAACTAGATTGGGAGATTCAAACTTCAAATCAACTCAACTCTATTCATGATGACCAGTAAATTCAATATTGATTCACAATTATTCAAAAAAAAAAATATTGATTCACATTTTAAAATAAATAGTTCCAATAAATTTAAATAAAAAAAACGTCCAAGTCTAATCAATAAAGCTACGAAAATATTTTGTGATAGATTTGATGAAGAACCCAAGTTGATTTCCCATATTTCTTAATGGTGTCTTAATTACACCTAATTTTGACAAGAACTTAACTAGCATTAATTGGTCAAAAACTTAGTTAATTGACACTTCAAATAATTAATTTCAAACAATAAAATAAAGTTCTATCTTTCATGCAATCCTTTGAAATCCC